TACAAATGTCAGTTTAGGAATTTAGGTTATATTAAAAAAATATTAGAAAACTAGTTTGAAAATGCGAAATGTTTTGCTGTAAAAGTTATTATATTTTTGGTCAAGAATTGGGAATGAGATAATTGTATGGGATTTGAAATTGTATTGTTAACCTTTCAGTAGTCGCGCTATTTTTTTTTTCAAGTATAGACGCCCCGGTCTGTAACACCGGGTTGTTTTTTATAGGTTTTGCGATTTTTTTTATAAATATTTACTATCAGTGAAGTTTTATGGGTAAAAAGGTACATATAGGTACAAAAAAGTTATAAGAAAAAATATATATTTTAGAAAATATAGGCAAAAAAACAAAAATAAAATTCATATAAAAAAGGTCTTTAAACTTTTAACATACAAATAAAATTGCAACTTAAAAAAGTTAAAATAAAAAAAAATATTATTTTTTGGTCCTTATTTAATACGGCAGTGAAAGAAAAATTGAAAAATTAACCTTCGAAAGGACTTTGCTTGCAAGATTGGCAAATGCCTATTATGTGCTCTAAGCACATGTAGGTATTACGTTTAAAATACACAAATCCAGTTTTTCTATATTTTTTCCAATTGCAATACGCACATCTACCACGGGTAATATTTACTTGAGATTTTTGAAGTACAATTCTACAAAATTCTTGAAGTGAAAATTTCAAACTTTGTGGAATTTCGGTCAAAGCAGCATGAGTTATTTGTAACACGAATGGTCACCCCGGTCTCACACACCGGAAGTCACTATAACTCGCAATAAATATGTTCAATCGCATCCAAATTGCAACTAAGCATGCATATACACTATTTAGGAAGGTACCTGGGCGGTGAAGTTTTTATCTCCACCATCTTCAAAGATAAGTTTAATTTTAAATCGCCCCGGTGTCAGACACCGTGCGCGACCACATTCTTTAAGTGCCCATGAGATTAATAATACCCTGGTGTGGATGCTGCTTCACAGAACATAAGCTGCTTGAAATAATTCAAATAGTTATATTCGATTCAAATTTCAAATCGAATATTTAAACTATTAGAATAATTTAAATAAAATAGAAAATGTTTAACAATAATAAAACTTGTTCACAAACGAAAAACACTACCCTAATCTAAATCAAAAAAATACTAACCCTAAATGAATAAAATTATTCTAAATTAAATTAAGAAGTATAAACGGGTATCGGAGTATACAGCCCCGACTTAAAAATTCATTTTGCGGCAAGATTACCAAATAACCTACAGATTTGTACCGCTGAAATAGCAGCAATATGTAAGGGGACAGCTTGCGCTTTCCAAAAATAGTAAAAAAATCTACTTCTATCCAATTCTCTCAGCGCATTGCAAATACTAACAAATATTAACTACAATGCAAAAGACAACTATTTAGCTCTGGCAACAAAGAAACTAATAACTACAGCAAATGAAAATGGATTTGAATTCAAACTGGGATGGATACCAGGCCACAATGATATAAAGGGAAATGAAAAAGCAGACCAGCTGGCTAAAATTGGAATCAACCTTAATGTCCCCCTGGAATGCCAACCCGACATGTATGAAATGATGCCTAACTTAAAGAAACAAATTATAAAGGCATGGAATGAAACATGGAAAAAAATATCAACATACAAAGGAAAATGGTACAATCAAATTGAAGAAAACTTTCCAATAAAACCATAGTTTCACACAAATAAAATCAAAAACAGAAGACATCTAACAACAATCATATACGTTTAAGGTCTGGTCATGGATTATTTAAAAGTTTTTTAAATTAAAACTCATCTTCATAGAATAGGAATAGAGGATAACCCTATCTGTGAATGCGAAGAGGAAGAACTTATACCATATAATACTGGAATGTCCCATAAACAAAATACCTGAAACAGACATTTACTTTGAACTGGCAAAAAATGACATAATCCTCCCTGCCAGCATACCTACAATTAGGGTCGGGATTTTGACCGGTCTAAATCTTTTGTGGTCATTTGACCGGTCAATTGACTAATCAGCGGTCAAATTCTTTAATTTTTTCTAAAGAAATAAAGGCGTGAGTAAAATTACTTAATTTTAAATAGAAACGTATATTTATTGAAATAAAGCTAAAAAAAAATAAAGAAACCATTCTGAGGTACAAAAAAAATCATAATATCATTGTTTTTAAAAACATTTACGTCTAACTCGCAGCAGAACAGCAACAGCAGCCCAGCAGATAAGACCTGAAGATGGTACATGAGATTGTACCGAAACGTCGTCAGACATACGGTTCTTTTAAAAACTAAAAACCGACAACACGGTGCTTGCATGTGTGGATAACGGCACATCATCCTCGTCAGATCTGAAGATGCTACCGTGTAGCGAAACAATTGTTATATTTAAATAAAAAAGTGAAACTTTTAAACAGTGTAGTTTATATTAACATATTATTAACATGGAGTTTCATCAAGAAAAAGTCGAAACAATTAAATCTATAAAAGCCCAAAAATCAAGAGATGAGGAATCTCAGACACTCTTAACTGGGTCACTTGATTATAATGTATATTCAAGATATAATGAGCTGGCCAAATAGTTTTTAACTAAGCTAAAGGCCACCCCCCCCCTAAAAAACGGAGACGTTTTTTCAGATCAAAGAAGAAGAAGAAGTACACTCTATGTAAATATCTATGTAAAACATTCCAAAACAAATAAAAAAGGTCAAAAAATCGTAAAAGCTCAAAACAAAGTAAACAATAAAAACAAAGCCAAACAGTAAACCAAGAATGGTTTGTTTATAATCTCCCTGGCAAGAAGTCCTTGGGGTATAAAATAAGACAAACCAAATTTTTAAATCTAAAAACATTATTATAAAATTAAAAAAATAATACTTCTTTTTATTATTAATACTTAAAAACATAATTAATATAATTCTTTATAAATTTTGCGATATAACATATTTTTATAAGCTTTATATTAACGAAAATAATATTAGAATAATTAATGGCTAGCTCCTACAAAAAGGAAACAGCCTGAATCCAAAATGATCTGTGTATGTGTGGTAAGTATATGCTTGCCAAAAATTGTTTTGTTTATTTTTTTCATATTTGAAAAAAAAAACTTTTTTTATCACTACTCTTAATTTAGCAAGACAACTAGTGTCCGGGAATAACCGATTTATTTTATTAACTGACTAACGAGTATTCAAGTGATTTAAAAAACGAATGCTCGAATGCTCATCGTGGGTCGGGGCTAAATAACGAGGCGTGTGACGTTGCTTCGTTAGATTCCGGTTTACCCGCTTGCATAAACAAGCAGTATTGCCATTTTCCTATAGAAATCTACTTTTGGTAGTTTTTTAACATAATTTTGGTAGGCAAAAAATTATTATTTAATTTTTAATACAGGTAATTAAATTAAATAAAATTAAAGTACATGTAATTTAAATTTAATGCTAATTTTTTGTAACGAATTTTTATGAATTCAAATTGTAAACAAACTTTAACTGTCAAATGCTCAGATTCCTGTAACTCTAACTAAAAATATAAATTACAGAAACCTGTATATTACAGATAACTATATTTACCACGGCGTTTCATTTTTTCCAACCAGGTTAATGGATTCCTTCATTCTTTGGCAGTAGCCTGGATGTATAAAAATATATGGCCACACTGCGCAAATAACTGGTTATTCATCACTTGAATCCAAAACTCATAATCAAATACCTAATTCAGGTTATTTTAATAACTGGGTAATATGTTACATATTTTCTTATTCGACGCTTATATAAGCGTCGAATCATCAATAAGGAAAAAAATCCTTATCAATAAGGCCCGGATTTTAGGTAAAACACCTTTTGTTGGTTTTTTAGGTTTTAAAGATATTTTTTTGTATTTGCCCGTTTTATAAAAAATGGAGTCATCTGACTAAGTTTTATTTGACCTAAAATACCTTTTTTATATTTTTTTTACCTATTTTCCTTTTTTGCACCTAAATTGTATTTTTAATACCTAAAATGAACTTTTTTTACCCGTCCTGTGACGTTAAACGATCATTCTCTTGGTTTAAAAATGTTTTGACTGATAAACGCACTAGCTTTACTTCAAAAAACTGAAAAATTAATTTTTTTTTATTTTAGAGTTCCTATTTTGGTTTTTTTTTGTAATTTTAGAGTTCCTATTATGTTTTTTTTTGCTATTTTACATTATTTGTGATATGATATATTTACTTTTTTAAAGAATCTTTTATTTTATTTGTTATTTTTCCAACCAAACATTTTTGTTCAGTTAATGTTAATAATAAATATTATTTTAATAACTATTTCATTTTTAATTTAAATCCTTTATTGCCGGACATTAACAGAGCAATTATAATGTAACTAAAACTACATAAGACCTATGTATGGTTTTACAACGATATCGACATTATAATGAAAACATTTTATTTTAATAAATCAGCTTATTTTATTTTTTATTTAAGTACCTAAAATGTAGGCACCTAAAATAATAACCTAATTTTATAACTATGTGACCTATTTTTTGCATTTTTTTTATTTTTTTATAACCTAAAAATATGGGCCAACCAATATTAACTTTTTAATTAATTACCTAAAATATAGGTACCTAAAATAATAACCTATTTTATTAAAAATATCACCTAATTTAGGAACCTTTTATCACTTTTTTATGACCTAAAAATCCGGGCCTTACTTATCAATAACAAATTTCTCTTGACGCGTTGTCTAACACCCCCACCCATATCCCTTATCTATGTTGATTACCCTTGTAATTTTTTTCCTTAGCCGTTAATTCGTGTGCGATTTTTACTAAAAGTAAAGAAGGTCCAAAACATTTACCAAAAATTCAAACGTAGAAACAGTCATGACAAGTTAAAATAAGGCCAAAATAAAAAGTTAAAGAACGGTAAATTTTGGGACATAAATATCAAAAAACATTCAATAGGAAACTTCCAAAAGTGACAAAATATGCAGATAGTTAATAAAAATCCTGTTTACTTACCGACAAAGCTGTCTCCTCCTCTGGACAAGTCGGTGGGGTCGGTGGAGATCAAATAGTTGCTGGTAGCACTCTTTTTTCGTTTTCTCCCAGCCAACAAAAACACTTTTTTACCGTAGTCGCGCTCCAAGTGCAAAAAATACGTCGGATACAGGCCTCTATCCATTCCTTTCCGATCCCTTGTTATTCGACATTTGTATAGAACTTTCAGATGAGCAGGTTGCAGGACAAATTTTTCCACGTTTCCTTCTACATTTCCCTCAGTCTCAGTGTTCTTAAGTATGTTTTAGAGTTATATTCATTAATAATAATGTATTTAAAAACTTACCCCATTTGTTTGATGTATAAAGTTTGGTTTCTCTCCTATTGGATCAATGGAAACATTACCATTACTTGGAGAGGTTGCTGATATTGGTGAGCTTTCATCATCTTCCACATCCATTAATTCAGGGTTTCTAGTCGTCAGATCTTCTACAGTACCATCTAATATGTATAGGATATAAAACTTTTTTCATACAAAATTTGTTACTTACCAACACTTTCAGCACTAGATAATATTGATATTACTTGATCTGGGTTATTATCAAATCCCATGGAATACTGTAAAGGTCCGTCATAACCTAAAACAGGTCAAAACATCAGGTAAATAGCAAAAACATATGCGTTTTTGATGTTAGCTGTCAAAGTCAAAATTTCGTGTTTTTTCGAGTTATTACCGTGTAATTCTCTTTTATTCCCACTGTTGGCCCTAATTTTGGCAGAATTAATTCTGATATCCGACGCTTGAATCATCCCCGAAGTCATTCTCTTCTGTTTCATTTTTTGCTCCATAATTTGCCTCTAAAAATAAAATTATTGAATAAACATTACAATTGATTATTTTTTAACTTACTTGCTGCTCCAGTTTCTGAGTTCTTGCCTCCATTTCCATCATTTTTTACTTGCCTTCGTCAAGATTGATTTGTTTGTATATAAAATAAGTAACTCTTGGTGATGATAGGATCGATCGGAAACTTTAAAAAATAGCGGAACAGTTTTGTTTACGAATCCATCAGTTTGAGCACAACATTTAGCGGCAGAAGTCACGTGACTGTTTGACCTCCATTTTTAATAGTATTTCAAACGTATTTTACCGTCTAAATTTAAAAAGGACAACAACAAGGGACGTTCCAAAAAAAAAGTTAAAATTTTAATAAAAACCCCAGCCACGGATCATAAAGGCCAACTAAGCCTAATTTAAAAAAGGAATTTACTTACTAACCACAGTTGGTTCCTAAATGTTTTAACAGATGGCGATGATGTACCTAGTTTTCATATACTTACAACAAGTATATAAGTATATGTTTTTAAACCACATACTTCTACCATTGATTAAAGAATGACTTCTTCACTCAACGCTTCTACCGTTGACTTAATAAAATATTTAAATCATTCAATGTTTAAATTAGAATATAATTTTAAGTTGGCGGGATTTTTAAGCAAAATATGAGATATTTTATGCCTGCGCGTGGGACAGTTTATATTGCCACCTTCTGTGGGGTAGCAATATAAACTGTATATAATATTACTATAGTATTATGTTGTATATGGAAGGATGGCAACACTGATAGACATAAGCATGTGTTTTTAAAAACCAGCTGATTTTGAGGTTAGGTTTTACTTTTTGTACATTTTTTTTAGAATTTTCTACTAAATAAAACTCAGCTTCGATTCCTAATTTGTGTAGTTCCTAATTATGTTCTTAATTTCTGTCAGTTTTCGGCTAAAAAATATATCGGAAATAACTTATAAAACGATCATTTTTGAGTGGGTGGTTTTCATGTTTTGTTGATTTTTCTCTGTAAAAATGGATAGAAAAAAACGTGTGGCGATTTGTATGAGCGAGAAAAAGTTTAAGAAGCTCAATTTTCAAGAGATATGTAAAACTTGTGATGAATATGGACTGGAAGCATTTAAAGTAAGAAATTTATTGGATTTAATGCATTATAATAATGATTTTCTTATAGTTGGATTTAAATTTAAGTTTAGAGGAGCAAGAACCTTTTTCTGTAGTATTACATAAGCTAACTGATGTTATAACGGCATCCAATGAGGGAGACAAAAAGGTAAGTAAATTTTCACTAATAACATGATAAAAATAATAAAAAATATGTTGTAGACGTGTTTAATATTAAGTAAAATAGAAAACTATATTAAAACCCACCCCAATCTCATAGTAATTGACCCTCTTCCAAATATACAAAAAGTTCTGAACCGCTTCATAACTTATAAGACTATTTATACATCTGTATCTCACACAGAAAACATATTTACGCCTAATTTCTGCGAGTTAGTCAATCCAGACATAAAAGACATCAAGGAACAATTAAGGCAATCTAATATTACCTTCCCAATTATATGTAAAGCAGTTCCAGGCCATGGTTCACAAAACTCCCACCAAATGTCCATTATTTTCAATGAGAGTGGCTTAAAAGACTGTCGAATACCTTCAGTTGTTCAAAAATTCATCAAACACAATGCTATTTTGTACAAAATCTTTACTGTGGGTGATAAGCATAGCTTTGTGGAAAGGCCTTCCTTAAAAAATTACATGGCTTGTGATTTAAGAAAAACCATATTTTTTGAGAGCACAAATGTCAGTAAATCTGACTCAAAGAGTGAGCTGAGCATTTTGGATCCACAAGAAAAAGTTAAGAATTTTTTTCCAAATCCAGATATATTTGATTTTATTTCGAAGAGTATAAGACAAGCTTTTGGTATGGATTTATTAGGGATTGATGTTATAATATGCAATGAGACTGGGAAATATGGTATTATTGATGTTAATGCTTTTCCAGGTAATAAAATACTGTTTAAATGTAGGCAACCCAGATTACACGCGCTAATCAATTTTGAGCATATTAATCGGGATTGCCTACCTAGATTCAAAGTAATGTGTTTATATTTTTAGGATATGATGGTTTCCAAAACTTTAACAAATGCCTTATAGAATGTATATTACAAAAACTTAATTAATTATTCTTTATACATTTCATATCCAACTGCCAAATATTAATTATTGTTGCTCAGGGTTTGTTCTTATTAAGTTTTAACCATGTTTATATTTTTAATTGTTTATTATTATATTATTAAATCTTTGTGAGTATAAAAATTATTTTTTCTACTCCCACCTTTAAAACGCCCTTTATCGTACATGTTTCCATGACACTAAGTGACCTTTTAAATACACATTGACAGGTTGTGGCTTTATGGCGCTTTAGTCACGGGCTGAAGTTAGTTTTAAGTTAGTTGACAGTTGTCAAATGTCATACAATCGTTAAAATAAAGTGCATTTCTTGTAAAATAATACTAAATGTGAAAAATATTTTATTATCTCAATACAATAATACAAAAGTATTAAATAGTTTCCCAACGGCAATATTTGAAAAAGTTTATATGAACATTGTACTGACCTTTTAATTTCGCCGGCAGTAAACTATAACTTAAATTAGGGCACGGACTCCACTGTAAAGTGCTCATAAAACATTTTCTTTACTTTCACTGTCAAAAACTGTCAATTTTCAAGAAATACATTTCGATTTATAACCTTTATAATCTGTGTTTATAAAAATGTGACATTTGACGGTGACACAGATTCCCTTATTGTTTCATAGATGGCGCTCTATACAAATTTTTGATTTAAATCATTTTAAGATAATAATAAGTAGGTATTTCTCGTAGAAAAAGTATAGTATGTATAAAATGGCGTTTATCAAACTTGATACATAATATACTATTATTTCATATTGTAGGTGTGCTAATAAATTATTTGAAACTACAGAATTTGACAAAAATATTCACTTCAAAGGATTTTATGACCAGACTTTGGTAAAATTTTCAAGATTCACTATGAGATTTTTTATATTTTCCAAGTAAAAATATTAAAAATTAGTTAGCAAATAAATAAATTGTTTGAAATTATAGAAGTTTAAATATCCTTTTTCTATGGTTTAAATATTTAAAAATATGTATTTTAAAGGTTTTTGGGACGGTTGATTATTTTTAAATGATTTCACAAAGATTTCTATTTGCTTGGTGTAAAAATAAAAGACATGTGTACGACAACTCTTTGTTTTTATTATAAAAGGTGTATATGGGGTAACAACTTTAGAAATTTTGAAAGAAAATACACAAAACTCAGTCATATAGGATAAATATACCTCTCACAATAGATTTACATGTTTTTTTAGACTTATTATCTAAATATAATCTATGAACAGTTTGACAACATAGAAAAATATTTATATTATCTATATTACAAAATCATTTGCCTTAATTCAAGTTTTCCAAGGCACCTTTACAAAATGGAAAAAATCAAAATCGTCAGAAATTTCCATCCACATAGCTGCTTATCGAAAAATTCATTAAAAAAATAACACCGAAGTTTTTTAATGCAAAAATTGCATTTCCATGTTTTTTTTGCTATATTAAAACATTTCTACTAAAGTACAATATTAAACATCTTTAAAAAGCTTAAAAATTATTTTAATTGCATTTAAACCTTGAAATATCTTAAAACTTTAAAACCGTTTACTCCAAGGATCCTTAAGTGGAAGGAATTGTTCTAGACATTTTGAGAACAATAAATGCAATTTAAATTCTGATTTTACAGAAATGTTTAAAATTGCAAAATCGGTAGCTAATTTTTGCAAAAAAATTGAGATTAAGTAAGTGCTAAACAGATCTATGTAGTATTTTGGCCACGTGGATAATAAATAGAAACGTCTAAACTATGAGGCTAACAAGCCTTACACCAATACATTTATATTATTGATTATATTAGTAGCACAATATTTACTAATCAATATTACAGATATTCGAAATTATTGTAATTGTCCTCATCGCGTAAATATCCGGACTCTATTCGTTAGATTCTTCAGTAGAAAAGTATACGTGATGTATATTTTGTAGGCCTAAAATGTGGTCCGAACATTTACGCCGTGTTAATTAAAAATCTTTGTAGGAACGCAAATAATGTTAATAATAAAGTAAATGCTAAAAATTCAATCATCACAATTAGATCACAAATAAAAAAATCTTTCAGGTCCAGGCCAAAAATGCATGTATTCCAAAATTTAATTAAAACTTTTAAATATTCAGCGAAAATCAATTTTGACGCAACAGATCCTCTTCACTGACTACTACTTTACAAAAATAATTTGTTTATTTTTTTCTCTTAAAATATTTGACAAACGCTAGGAAGACAATATTTATTTAATATTTTTGACCTAGACCATACAGCCCAGTCGTTTTAGGTCTTTTATCAAGATCTTTTAGTACAAGGATTTTTAATTCCATTTTGACCAACTTTTAGAAATTTTGGTACCTAAAACGATAGGGCCAAACCATCTTACACTTTACTATGTACAAGTCACTTTTGATAGTAGTATTAATACAAAACTGAAACTGATTGTGTTTGTTGGGTTGCATGCAATAATTTAGGATAAAAATAGATTCAGATAATTAATTCTGAATATCACAGAATGAACACTACACCTAATGGCTCGCATTTAAGTCCTTAGATAAGTAGAAAAATTTAATTATACCTTGATAATTTTAAATTTAATGCTAAGACATCCCGGAGCTTGGGTCGTCGTTATCCGACCCCTGATTTGTTTCGCTCCATTTGCTCGTATTTTGCTCTATGTTGCTCATATCTTCAACGTTATAGTAACTCATTGTTTCGTCCTCGATGTTGTTCACGAATAGAGGCTCCGTATTTACGACTCTCGAACTGTATCTTTGCTCTTCGGAGTCCTTCGACGTGACAGGCTCCGATTTTTTGTCCGTAACGTCGGCACTCTTATTCGACACAACCTTACTTTTCTCGGCATTGACGTCCATTTCTGGGGGGTTCAATTGCATTTTGTTTATACGATTCGTCACGATCTGCAAGTGCCTCAAAACGTAGTCTTCTTCAGGGGCCAGTAAATGGGCTTTTTCCAAGCATTCTTTTGCTTCTAGTAGTTTTCCGCGTTCTACGTGGACCACGCATAGGTTGTGTAGTCCCTGTATGTTTTCCGGGTCCAATTCTAGTATCCTGCGGTATGCCTAAAAAGAAAAAAATATATAAAAAAAACGTTTCTATTTGAAATTGAGCAATTAGATAATTGTCTTGAAACTGCCCTAAAACTGTTTAAAAATGTCCAATATCTCGTATTTAATGGGGAACATCATTAACGCCTGGCGGCAAATTAAAATTTTCCATCTTTAATTCGAAAAAAAACGTGCAATTACTAAATTTGAGTGCAAGGAATTTAATTATTTAATAAGAAAAGTTAAGGGGACAGAATTAAATTAAATCAAATTACACAGACGCGGGTCTCCGCTCATCTCCTCTCGCTCAGTTTATAAGTATCTCTATTTATTTAAGGAAAGCGTTTAAGTCAGTTTATTTTCCTGAACGACAGCTCCTTTTACTTAAGTTTATTATTAAATAAAATCTCGTGCCTTCATATTTTATGCTGTTTTTAAAGGAATTGGTATGATTTGTTTTGCTTGTAAAATAATGTAATTAATTGTGTGATTTTGCGTGATGGATTTTACAGTATTTAAAATTATATTGGTTATATTTTTAAAAATAAACAATTTTCAAGATAAAATATTAATATTTCTTTTTGATAACAATCATCATAACATATGCATGTTCTCGATCAAAAATAGAACAACTCATTTAAAATTTATAAAATTCTACAAATATTCTTTTTTGTATATAATATATTTACATTTTTTTATCATTTTTTGCATAGATATAGGTAAAAAAATAAATATTTTTAAATCCCAATAATTGATTAGTATAGTTTGACTTTTCTAACCGTTCGCAATTGATGAAATTGTATTTAACCGCTAGGCGTATCGTGCGTTTGGCCCTTGAAAGGAGAACCAGAACTGCTAATGGTTTGGGGTGGTATACGTTTGAATGGATGTACTTCCTTGCACACAATTTTTAATGCAACTTTAAATGCTAGGGTACACATCGATGACATTTTACGACCTATTTTGCTACATTTTGCTAACTAAGTAGGGCAAAATTTTGTGCTACAGCAAGACAATGCTAGGCCGCATGTTGCGCAAATAGTTTTAAATTCCAGATTTAAACCCAATTGAACATCTTTGGAGCATAATGAAAGGGCGTTTGCATAACCGCAAAGGACCAAAAACCCTTTAAAAGCCTGCTATAATGGTACCAGAAGAATGGAAGAGCATTCCTCAAAATTTATAGATAAATTTTAATTTTTTGTTAATCTTGTTTTAAATAAAAAATTTAAAAATCTGTTTGTTTTTTATTTTTCTTTAAAATTAGTACCTATAGTAAAATATACAGGGTGTACCAAGATCCTACTATATGTATATTAGGGTGTTTCAAAAAAATCGACTTTTTCTTTTTCTTCAAATGGTCGGCAAATTCTTTCAGAGGATGTCAACACAAAGACCTCGTCAAAATTTGAGCTTTTAATTTGAAGATTTAGAGGTCGCGGATCGCAATTTTCTATTTCCCATTTAAATAACATGGGAATTTTTTTTTTTTAACTTTGAAATTTTATACGTCTGAATCAAATCAACTTATGTCAAGGATCATCTTAGATTTTCATAGTAAATTTAACGCTCTATAAAAAAGGTCTCCTATCATTTTTCTATAAATTGATTCCTTCCAGAGTTATTCGAGGCCAAAGTTTGATTTCCATCGAATTTTCGCGTTTTTTTTAACATTTATGGTACAATTATCATTATACGGGTGTCCCGAAATCAGGAGGCCAAACTTAAACAGTATAAAAATAACACTTTTTTTGTTTAATAAACATGTATCAAAAAATGCTCCCTAAAGGAGGTACGGCCCCCTGAATAGGAGCCTAAGAGGATAATTTTTTTAAAACTATTCCTAGAGGGTTGAACATGAACAAATGAATTTTCGGTAGGTACTTTGGTAATTTTGACATGCTGAATCTAGATCTATGATCAAAACTGTTAAAATTTAATCATAGGCGGAACATTTGGAGGGGGCAAAGTTACAAAAATAGCCCCAACTTTTTTCTGGGTTAATAATTTAATTTTTTTTATGAAATTATGAGAATTTATAGTTTTTTACGAAAAATAGGTACTCTTGATTTGAATTGCTCAGATGCACCATTTTCGAGAAAAATGCATTTATAAATAAATTACTTTGCATATTATACACATCTCATATTTTCATTAAAACTTTGTAGTAGGCTTTGGAAAAAAGTGACGTTTTTTTGTTTTTTTGTTTTTTTTTACAACACTTCCTATGTTTCAGATATAAATATGTGATTTTTTAACTACATGATGCTAAAAGTTGAAAAAACGAGAAAATTCGATGGAAATCAAACTTTGGCCTCGAATAACTCTGGAAGAAATCAATTTATAGAAAAATTATAAGAGACATTTTTTATAGAGCGTTAAATTTACTATAAAAATCTAAGATGTTCCTTGCCATAAGTTGATTTGATATAGACGTATAAAATTCCAAAGTTAAAAAAAAAAATTTCCTATGTTATTTAAATGGGAAATAGAAAATTGCGATCCGCGACCTCTAAATCTTCAAATTAAAAGCTCAAATTTTAACGAGGTCTTTGTTTTGACATCCTCTGAAAGAATTTGCTGACCATTTGAAGAAAAAGAAAAAGTCGATTTTTTTGAAACACCCTAATGTATATACTTGTATGGATATATTTTTTATTTAAAGACCTACAATAAATGTAGGTTAAATTAGAGAAAAGTTGCGTAACTACCAGCCTATTAAAATATTTGAAATAAACGAAAATTCTTTCAAAACCAGAAATCGTTATAACTTCTTAATAATATTGAAAAAAAGTAAGTTTTACATGAAAAGACACATATTAATCTTTTCATCCAATTCTCTACTATATTTTAAGTTACCATCACCATCTTTTGTTTTTATAATGGACGCCATAACTTATGTAGTTTAACCCGTAAGTGGTGAGTTGGGGTTTCCCAAATGCGTAACCCAACCTCACCAGTTTACTAGTAATACGATTTTGTTAAAACTTTTTTTTTTAACGAATTTTAGAAATTTTTTTTCGCTATTTTGCAGTTTTTTTATTCTATATTTTCAGTTTGATTACTTATAGCAATTAAAAATAGGTTTTGAAGTGATTTTGTGGAGTAAAATTGCAGTAAAATTAAATTATTGCTAACATTTTTGTTTTTTTTATTTTTTTTTAAGTATGTACGGATTATAATCAATAAAGGTTACCCAAAATTAAACAACATACGCGTTTACCATTTATATAACAAAAAGTGATCTCACCAGTTACGGGTTAATACATCGTTTGATTCCTTTTTTTTATCTAACCATCTAAAATTCCGATAAGGCGGCCATAGGAAAAACAAAATATGGTGTTGGTAACTTAAAATCTACAATAGTAGGCGAAAAAAAAATCACAAATTGAATAAAAAAGTGGTTCACATGAAAAACTTACTTTTTTTCACAATTACCAAGAATAACGAAGCGATTTTTGGTTTTGGCAGGTTTTTAGTTTTTTTCAAATAATTTCAGAATCGCTGATTTATTCCCAACTTTTAAATGCAATTTTAACACTTTTAATTACGCAACTTTTGTCTAATTTAACAGAGCTTGTATACCTATACAAAAGATTAAATATACTTAAAAATATATTTAATCTTTACCTATACATATTATGTAGAAGAATACTTGAAAAAACAAACACACATTTGCATAATTATTTTAATGTGCTTCCATTTTTGCAAATTTGTTTAAAATAATATTTTGGATAACCTTAACAATTGTTGCTTTTTAAAAACCCGAATTCAATATCCAAACTTAACAATTGCCGAAAACGGCATATTCTTTGCAGCGTTTTATAAAACGAATAAAGTTTCAATATTGCCATAGTTTTTTAAGAAATGTAATATTATCCTTGGAAACATAGATATTGAATACGGCGACCTACTTTGAAACAAAAGCACATACCTAATATTATTTAAACGTATAATATACGATTTTTAATAAAAAGTTATTTATCTACTCCTACATTGACGAGCTGTGACTTTATGGGGTTTTAGTCACGGGTTTTTGGGCATTTTGGTCACGGGCGGAAGTTAGCTCTATTATAAATTGCGAAAATGTGAGGTTAAATGACATATTTATGGGGACCGAGGATGGCGCAGTGGGTTGAGCTACAGAGCTGTAAACAATCTGCGTCTAACGGTACCGGGTTCGATTCCCGGTCACAGCCTTGGGTGTTGTAGTTGTTTATTAAACAAAAATAAAAATACACCATAAGCTGGCTAAATAGTCTAGAAAGACTAAAAAATCTAAAAAAATGCATATTTATGATTTAAAATTGGCTTTAAATTCTTATTTCTCGTTTTTATTAAACACTCGCTCGCAAGCTTCGCTCGTGCTTAATAAAACTAAAATGGCATAATATACTAGTATATAACATAATAGCTATTATGTAAGCCTCCATTTAAAGATGCTACTTATTACGTAACCTACAAGGTCTTTACTGCTAATAAAAAACAATGGGTTTTATTAAAAAAATAATTTTGGGATTAATATAAATGGATATTTCTATACATAAATATTTGTATGTAGATTTTAAACGATAGCTGATAGCGCCTAGCGTAGGAGAAAACTCATAAATATTATTTACCGCTACATTAAATGTCAGAGATATGATGGATTACCCTTCTAGACATCGACGAAATTCAGATATTTCAGTCCTACTGTATAATAGTTACTGCGATTAAATGGACGAGATTTCGAATAAGTATACGGTAATATTTTTAAAATTTGTAATTTGCATTTAGGCAAAGATATTTTTGTTACTTGACTGTTAAAAAAATTTAGTGTTGTAGAAAATCACCCAGTTTCGATAAAATCCTAATTGTATACCAGTGACAGCCTGTGACATGTTGTTTTGGTGAGGCAAAATCCTCATTCACAGATTTAAGGGCAGCGAAATTTTTTTAAACCTGATGTCGCCAGTGCCGTTCCTAGGTGAACCTTTTTGGGTACTCTACCTTATAAAACCCTTAAATTTTAATAG